CTATGGCCTGTCGGACAGAATCCACGTTGTATGTAATCTGGAATTCTGGAACATGTTTGAGAATCTCTTGGGCCAGCTCCTTGGGAGTGAAACTCATGGCATTGATGTTGTAGGTCCTTATGGACAGAGACTTTGCTGGGGCCTCCATGACTTCCAGGGTGGCTCTGAGACAGTCATCAATATACATCATTGGGAGCCTTGTGTTGGGAGTCAGGTTGCACTCATATTTGCCATTCTTTGTAGCACCATGAAAAATGTGGACTGCATAGTCAGTTGTTCCTCCTCCAAGTTGGGAGTCCGGTGAAATAATTCCAGGATATCGCAGGCATCGAAAATCTAATCCATAGATAGTCCTGGGTCTCTGAATACAGATATCAGGGGTTGGGTTCCGGGGAGAAGTAGGTCCAAAGGCTCCAATCGTGCTAGGCACAGTCGCAAATTGTGTTCTGTTGCAACATCCAGAATGTTATGCAGTCCAGTTATATTTACAGATCTCGCCAAAGATACGTTTGCTTCTCCGACTGCACTGAGCAAAGCACTATAATGAAACAACCAGGTGATGCGGTTGTTTACCACTATCTCTCGAAGATTCTTGTAATCCAAAATATCGGAATAAATGAATGGACCACTATGGAAGATGTGGTCGGGTGGTTTCCTTATGTCAGACAAGATCACATTGTCCTTTCCAAATCGCTTCCTCAAAAAGTTAGCAAGCCCCACTCCAAGCTGGCCAAGACCCCCTGTAATTAGCACACGTGGATGGTCTGTCTCAGAGCGTGAGACAGAGTGAAAGTTGGCATTTGCTGTGACTTGCCGAGGGGAGAAGCCCAGAAACCTGATGGACACCACAGATGTCTGGCAGCCACTCGCTGGACTCAGTAGCATCCGGCCAGCTACCTGACTCAGCATCCCAGTAGCTGGCATTTTCTTTGAAATTCTCTTCCCACGAAGTCGCTCAGAGATGCTGCCAATGCTGCGCTGGAGTCTTGGCGCCACACGTGGCTAGCAGCCCAAGCACCAGGAACAGAAAAGTCCTATATTTTTATACTAATAATTCAGTTAGTTTAGTCATTGATCCATTTTGAGTTAATTTTTCTGTGTGGTGTGGGGTAGGGATCTAACTTCATTCTTTTGCACGTAGAAATCCAGTTGTCCCAGCACCACCTATTGAAAAGACCATTTTCTCCATGATGAATGGATTTGGCACCCTTGTAAAATAAATAAATAGATAGATAGATAGATAGATAGATAGATAGATAGATAGATAGATAGCCATAGATATGTGGGTTTATTCTTAGATTCTCAGTTTTATTTCTTACGCCTCTATTTCTGTCCTTAATACTAGATGCACCATTTTGATTAATGTAGCTTTGTGCTAAAATCACAAGATTCTTTTGGCTATTTCGTACCTTCTACAATTCTGTATGAATTTGAGAATTGGCTTTTCCATTTTGTCAAAAAAAATTTGATGGAATTTTGATAGGGATTGTTTTGAGTCAGGATCATTTTGTATATTATTGTCATCTTAATATTGTCTTCTAATATATGGACACGGCTATCTTTCTATTTACGTCTGTAATTTCTTTCTATAATGTTTTATAGTTCCCACTTTTTCACCTCCTGGGTTATATTTATTCCTAAGTATTTTATTTCTATAGATATTATTGTAAATAGAATTGCTTTCTTAATTTACTTTAATGCATTATTTATTGCTGGTTTATAGAAAGTCAGTTGACTTTTGTATATTGACTTTGTATACTACAAATATACAGGATTTGGTTATTAGCTTATATAGGATCATATCATCAGCAGATATACCTTTTCTTCTTTTCCATTTTGGATGCCTTCAATTACTTTCCCTAATTACTCTGGCTTGATCATCAGTACAATGTCAAATAGCAGTGGTGAAAGGGGGCATCTCAGTCTTTTTCCTTAGAATGGAAAACTTTCGGTCTTTCACCATTGAATATATTAGTTAGCTGTGATTTTTTTCATACATGCCCTTTATCATGTGGAGGAAGTGCCTTTCTATTCTTAGTTTCTAGAGTGTTTTTATCATGAAAGGGTGTTGGATTTTGTCAAATGCCAGTTCTGCGTCAAATGAGGATCATGTAGTTCTTTTCCCAATTCTGTTAATGTGGTGTCTTACATTGATTGATTTTGTTATGCTGAACTCCTCTTGCATTCCTGAGATAAGTCCCACTTGGGGTAAGTCCACTTCTACATTCATAAGAGATACTGGTCTTACTTTTTATTTCTTGTGGTGTTTTATCTTGCTTTGGTATCATGGTGATGTTGGCCTGACAGAAAAAGTTAGGAAGAGTTCCTTTCTTTTCTGTTTTTTTGAAGAGTTTGAGAAGGATTGGTATTTGTCTGCAATTCTTAGTCTGTTCTTTTAGATACCAATACTGTCTATGTTACTTTTACATGATACATTCCCAAACTGTAGTGTGTGATTTGAATATCGGAGAAATTTACATGCGGACACATTTTAGATGTTTCTTAAAGCATCTGGATTCACTAGGAAGTAAAATTTAACAAAGGGCTGTATAAGAGAACGGGTTGTTATTTCTTTGTTGTGGTTAACTTTGTTCAGTAATTTTAATTGAGTGAAATGAGAGCAGCTGTCAGGCAGTTGGTAGACAAGGATAGACTTCTTGGCTCACACCATTGAGGCTCTGGGCTCCATCAGAAACAGCTACAGTTTGTGGACTCTCCAGGGAGGCCCTGGTAGCTTCTCCAAGCCCACATATCAAAAGCCATACTGGTTCTTACAGCACATTCTAGCCACTGGTAATTAGGAAAGGGGAGGCTTAGTTGCCTAGCCACCCAAACCACTACCATTGAGTCGGTTCTGAATTATAGAGACCCTGTGTAGGATTTCTGAGATTAAAGTTTTATGGGAGCAGACTGCTTCATCGTTCTCCTACGGAGCAGCTGGTGGGTTTGAACCTCTGATCTTGAGGTTAGCAGCTCAGTGCTTATTCAATAGTGCCACTAGAGCTCTTTTAGTTGCCTACAGATGTAAAAATTTTCTTAATGAAAATAGTATTGTTTCATATGACCACCAATTTGAACACTTGCAGCAAACTTTGACTTTCCATCACAGGAAATGGTGCCATAATGAGATAGTAATATGAGGGGGCTTCAAAAAATTTTGTGGAAACATGGAATCAACAGATAATGGAATTTTTTCACAAACTTTTTGAAGGTCTCTCATATTCATATACACATACCGTCATTTCTGGGATTGCAGTTATTGGAAAAGGGAGTCCCAGGAATGGAGACTTTCACTTACTCTTTTTTTTAATCATGGGACTGACTGATGATCTAATTGCTATCAGAGTGTTATGTAATGAAATTTTATAGGCAAGCACCCAGATGTAAACAAAAAGTTCTTGGTTTTATAGAAGAACATTGTATATCTAAGGAATTTCTGCTTTTTTTTTTTTTTTTAATTTAAGCGAAGATTTACATGGTGAGTTATACTCCCACTTAACAATTTTTATACAAATTGTTCAATAACATTGACCATGATTTTCATCATGTGTCAGCCTTTTCATTATTTCCATTCTGTTCGTTCTGTTTCCATTGATCTAACTTCTCTTCCCCTCCTTGCCGTCTCATCTTTACTTTTGGGTAAATGTTAAAGTTGTTTAAGGAGCATATTACTCATAGGTGATATTGTTTACTTTATATCCAATCTATTGTTTGGCCCAAAGTTGACCTCTGGGAGTAATGTCAGTTCTCATCTATACGGGTATCTATAAGGGCAGTAGTCTTGGGGGTTCTTCTGATCTCTTTCAGTCTAGTAAACTTGAATTTTTTTATGAATGTTGTTCTACATTCCCCTCTCCCCATTCCAGCTGGGACCTTCTGTTGTGTCCCTGGCCAGAAGAATAGTTGGCAGCAGTAGCAGTACCTTGTAATTCTAATAGTTTCAGGTTAAAAGATACCATGGTTCATGTGGACTGTTAAGTATTCTGGATTAATTTCTTCTTTGACTCTTTGGCTTACTTCATTCTTTTAAACTCCAGGTGAGTAGAGGCCAATAGTTAGATAACTGTTTGCAGCCTTTTAAGACCCCAGGTGCTACTCACCAAACTAGGGTGTAGAATGTTAATTTTATTAACTATATTATATCAGTTAACTAAATTATCCCATGAGACTATGGCCCTAAGCCCTTCAACCCAATAACCCAAGTCAACAGACTATTTGGATATACCTGAGAAGTCGCTATAACTGTGCCCCCCCCCCCATGTGCTTTATTATATCTATGGAAATATATGCAGCACACACAAATGTGTATTTACGTATGCCTGTGGGCTCCTGGTGTGGCACTGTATTATCAGTGCTGGGCTGCGAACCACAAGGCTGGCAGTTCAAACCCACTAGCCATCTGTTTGTCAAAAACCCTATACAGAGTTGCTATGAGTTAGAAACAACTCGATGGCACCTAACAACAACAACATACCTACACATACACTTTCCTACAGACATGTATGTATGCACTTTTTTTTTCTTTTTTTTACGTATGCACTTTTATCTTTGTAACCACAAACATACTTTTGGTATTTCTTGCATTACTGTTTTGCAAAATTGAATATATTATAGGGTTTACTGAAGTAGTCCCTTTTTCTTGTTCTCTGTTTTGATGCTTAAAGTAGGACAATGGGTGGATAGGTTAGATGACACAGTCACTATAAGGGGTTTAAGCTATATGGCCATAAGAATTTCTCTGTTCAAGTATATCAAGGATTTGTGCACTGAGGGAGGTACCTTGACCACTTCCTGGAGATCTCTTAACCCTGACCACAAACCTCACTGTGCTTTCATCTGCACATGAGTCATCCAAGTTTTGTTATCTAGTAGCTTCATTATGTAAAGAATCTGTGCTGCAAAGAGGTTTGATATGATTTTCTTTCCCTTCTAACAGCCAAGAAAGCCACCGTGAATTTACTGGGCGAAGAAAAGAAGAGTACCTAAACCAGTGACCATATGAAACCTTTCTGCCCTATCCACACCTTCCTGTTAGAGCTTGATGTTGTATTAGGGACTGTGGTATAATCATTTTAATAATGTTACCTTGAAAACATTTTGATATATTAAAAAAAGGAATGTGTTGTGAGTTTTTTGCTTATTTTTACTGTCTGTATTCATAGGCAACATTTTAATTTAAATTTAATGCAGTAGGCAGTGTCCAAATTTTTAGAAAATGTATTTTGTCTCTATGTAAGGAAAGATAATGTTATTGTCCTGCAGGAAATATAAACTTATGTATCTCACAGACTCTGCTTCACTGGGCTATCTGCATGTTCTCTGTACTTACATTTAAGATACTTTTATGGTTCTTCATGTAATGTATAATTTTATTATATCACTTAAATGTTTTAAAATGTACTTGTGAATATATGTGTATGTGTGTATATATACGTACATATATATACAGATAGGTAACTGTAACATTCATAACAGGAGTTACATATGTCATCTATGTAACAGGAGAGGCAGGAGGTTACATATGTCATCTATAACTTGTGTATACTAAGACCACCTGCCAGAACCTGAAAGTTCCATTGTGCTGGCGTGATATTCTAAACAGTTCAGATAATTATTTCAAATGAACAGAGTTAAGTGGGAAATAAGGTTGAATGGTGGTTGGCCTGCTTGCTTTCCTAACATTGGCGCAGCCAGATATCAGGATAGCTTTATAAAGCAGTTGGTCTTGAATAGGGAAATTTATACATATATTAGTGATCTATAGCTACTAATTTTGTATAGAACTAGTACTATATTGTCTTATAGACTTTAAACAGATCTGCTTATGAGCTTTAGATTTGTCTGTTTATAAAATGTTAAAGTAGAAACCATCCTTGATTTTATCTTCAAATCTGAGTGACATGTTGGTTTAGTCTTGTTTTTTTACCCCCAATCTTACCCTTTAAAAAAAAATTTTTTTTTTTTAATTTTAACCAGTTTAAGGAATATCCAAAGACTTGGCCAGGTTGTGATAAAATATGTTCTTGTTTAAATCATTAGCATCAGCATGCTAATGATGACACCTGGCTCTAAGAGCACTTCTGGGAGAATGAAAGGATGTATGATAGAACCTACAATCTAGTTGGCAGTGGTCATGTCATCCTGCCTTCATATAGCTCCTTTCTCAGGGGCCTTCACGGAATTTAAGGTCAAACACAGCAGCTGCCCTAGCTTTACAGATGACAATACTTAGGAGTCCGTATCAATGCCTTCATCTTTATTCTGTTTTGATAAGTTACATGTAAGTATAGAATGACAGAAGGAGCTGTGGTAGTGTAGTGGTTATAAGTCGGACTGTCAGGGTCAGTAGTTTGAAACTACAAGCCATTCCTCAAGAGAAAGATGAGGCTTTCTGTTCCCATAAGGATTTATTTATAGCTTCCGAAAGGGTTGCTATGAGTCAGAACTGACTCCACAGCACATAACAACCACCACCATATAACTACACAACAAATGCTAAAGTTGATGCCTCCAGCCAAATAACTTATATGTGTCTTGACAGCCTGTTTGGACTTGAAAAGCTAAACTTTACGTCTAATAGTAGATTTTGAGTTAAGATTAAAAGAAGAATATAACAAAATAAACAGCATAAATATTCAGTCAGTTCAATGTTTTTATAAAGCAAATAAAAACTATTTGTTCTCCTTTAGGTAACAATAAGATAAGATTATAATGATGGCTCATGATGTAAAGAATATTGAGGGTATCAAAAATAGGGAATAATATCCCCCAAATTTTATGATAATATGGACCATGGTATTATCCGCCCCGCCCCCCCAGGAAAAATAATGTTAATCAAAGATGTTTTAAATTTATCTTTAAAAAAAAAACAAGAAAAAAGGTTAGAAAGCAAGCAATGGCTGCTATTGCTGTTGTTAAGTGCCCTTGAATTGGTTCCGACTCATAATGACCGTTTCCAAGGAGTAGTTGGTGAGTTTAAACTGCCAACCTTGCAGTTCAAACTGACCTAGTGGTCAAAATGCTTATCCTACAGCTCCACGTGGAAGAAAAATCAAGCTATATATATATGTATGTATGTATGTATTTACATTTCTTTTCCATGAATAAGAACTGTGTTTCTCTTGGTGATGAGAAATGAAGAATGGAATCAACTAGACAGCAGCAAGCATACAGAGTAAGTAATCAGATTACTGTGTAACTTCAAGAAACAATATATAATCAGACAAGACAGAAAGGCATAATAATAGTTGCTATTGCTCATACATAGTGCTTATAGGCTAATATCAGTTTAAAAACTAGTAATGACTTATATTTTGAACATAAACTGTTTTGTCCTTAGTAACATAGTTTTCACCTGTAGTGCATGTTACAAGAAATTTAAGTCACAGTTTTCAGCAATTGACATGTACAAATTAATGACAAAAGTTGTGAGTTGAAACTTGTCTCAGTTTAGAATTCCCAAAGTTTCCAGGGCTATAATTGAAAATTAATTGTTTGCTTGTGCATAGCTAGAAGACAAACATTTGTATGTGAATGGTATTTTGGGAGTATGTGAAACTATACAATTCCTGCTTGACATTTTAAATTCCTCAAAACAAGGAATTCCTATCACAATTCTTTCCATACTTGAAAGCTTCAGTCATTCAGATCAACAAAGTTACTGCCACTCTGGGGAAAGTCTTCTAATCACAGCCTGAAGAAAATGAGCATATAACCTTTACATAAATTACCACCAATCGATACTATAATGAATGGAAATGGATGTAAATAAAATTCAATTATGTCATTTAACTGTTACTCCATTTTATTTTGTGAGATCTTTTTTTTCTAACCCTGAATTTTTAAAAGTAAAATCTTTGGTAACTACAGAGGAATAAACATTAAACTCTGTTGTTCATTGACTCCATTTCTTAATGGCTTGTTATTTTCTACCTGGTTGTTACTGCCTAGCAGAGGAAAAGTCTGTCCCTAAAAGAGTCCCAAACAAAAAACAAAGAAAACCTGTTATTCCATTGGACTGCAAACCACAAGGTCCACGATTCTAGCCTGCCAGTCTCTCTGTGGAAAATTTAAGACTCTGAAATGCTGTACATAGTTGTTATGAGTCAGAATCAACTCGACAGCACTTAACAACAACAAATAATCACCACTAGATTTACAGAAAATATAACCCTGCTTTCTACCTGCAAACTGCATTGCATGCAAAGAATTTTCATATGACTTCTTGTTAGGTGCCATCGAGTCAATAGTGACCTTATGCACAGCAGAGCGAAACACTGCCCGATCCTGGGCCAACCTCACTACTGTTGCCACGCTTTAGTCCATCGATGCTGCCACTTGGCCAATCCATCTCATTGGGGGTCTTCCTCTTTTTCTCTGACCCTCCACCTTACCAAACATGATACCCTTCTCTATTGATACAGCAACACATGCATGTACCCTGGACTACCAGAACAAACAAATCTATCTTTTAAGAAGTAACAGCTAGAATGATCCTTAGAAGTGCTGTACAGTATGAAATCTGAAGGCTTTTTGCCTGTGAATGACTCCAGCCAGGCAGAGCTTAATTCTATCTTGTGTCTAGGTTTAAGTGTTCAGACAGTTTTTCTTGGGTACCACATGCACCTCTGATAGACAAATAGCAAGAATTAGAAGGAGAGCATATTTAAAAGTGGGTTTGAGGCCATTTCCTCCAGCTTCCCCAGTGAGATCTTTCCTTAATGGTCACCTGGCAGTGATTCATACCCCAAAGCCTCTGCATTGGCTCCTTCCGTGTATGTGAAGCACTGCTCATCAGGCATGGTTGTGGGAAGAGACTCCTTTATACTCTGTGCCCTACTAAAGGTCTTCACATGAAGGTAGAACTCTGGAAACTCATCTTGGCAGTATATCCATGATTTCCCTCACCTGGGTGATGTTGGTCTTAGTCTTGTGTTTACTCCTGTTTAAGACTTAATAAAGAATATAGTATTCATATAACTGAAATAGGGTATCCTTCCCCGCACCCCCTTACAACAAATAGTGTAGTCAGCAAGATTTCAAAGTCTCATGCTTAGCGGGATAACCGGGGGACCATAGTCTGGTAGGTACCAAAAAGCAGGGTATCTAAGCCCCACCATGGTCCACAGACTCCTGGGGAAATCTGCAAGGTAAGCATGCTGGAATTTCAAACCTTTGTTCTGAGGCTTCTAGTGACTTCTTATTAAGTCTTTTGTGTGTGTGTGAATTGACAGAAAATTTACAGGGCAGATCCTCAGTTCTACAGTCAACAAATCATATACTTTGTGTCATTTCAATGATTCTAATCCCCTCCATGTACCATCAGTATTTCTCTCTATTCATTCTAGCTTTTTTTTTTTTTTTTTAAACACTCAGGCATATATAATAATTTAAACCACCAAAGGGCACATTCTGAAAGTCTGCCTCCTGGCCCCCAGCCATCAGTCCCACTCTTTCCATGAATCTAGAGCCTTCAGCTGCTCTCTCTCTCCATGTCCCCATCTCTGCCTCCATCTCAGGTGTCGCTGCTTCTCTGGATAAAATCCGGCATTCTATTTGAGCTCTTCTTCCTTGATGGCCCTAGGGTCCTTTGTTTCTGGACTGTAAAGTAACTACTCCCCCATTTTTGTTACAAAACTTCTACCTTTACAATTGTGACAGTTGTAATTAGTCATGATAACAATTATTGTTGAATCACAAGAATCTTATCCCCATCTCTTTTTACCAGACCCATCTAGACAAGATGAAAACTATTCAGTGGGGATTCTAACTTCGCCCACACACTCTTAAACTAAACTCCTTCTTGAAACCTTGTCAGCCAGTCACTTCATACCTTTATCTCCCCCTCATTTAGGTAGCCAATGTCTACATTGCTTGTTCTTAAGCCTTAAGTTTTATTTATGTGTTTCTCTCCATATGAAACTCTGTTTATAAATTCCATCTGCTGCCTAGTGGACAATTTTGGTTAGAATTCTGACTTTGGGACAATATATTGGGATTTTGAGGGAAGGAATTATTGTCTTAGCTTGGAGTCATTTGTGCAAATTTTGATGGTGGAGCCATGAGAATCTTGAGTAGCTTGCTGAGAAACCCAGTGTTTTGCATCAATTTTGGTAAATTTTGCAGT